GGACACAATGGCAATGTCTTAACAGATCCTATCCAGGAATTGACTGCACTACAAAGAGCAACTCTGATGAATGTTGATCCAGTCACGTGCTGCGTGTACTTCAACAAGTTGGTTGACACGATTGAATTTCAGCACCGTGGAAGTCCTCACACGCACATCTTGCTATGGCTGAACAAGGATCCCCGGGAAGCAATCAGTGAAAGTATGCCAAAAACTACAGGTGCAACAGTATCATGGTATTCATGCCTGTACTACTATCGGCCCTTTTCAGGGCCACCAAAATTTTCCAAAGGAGTTAAATTTCTGAACATTTCCCAACTAAAATCATATCAAAAGCTTCTTTTCAGGGCAATCATAGTCCTACACAAAACACAAGTCCTGCTGCAGTTAACAAATAACATTTATTATATAAGACCACGTAGTCCGACGTCACCATTGCGTATAACCCCAGAGGGCTGTCCCTAGTATTTTTTCAAAAGTTCTTTCATCGATTTATCATTTAACGTAAAATATCACCTTAGAACTAAAAAAAAATATCACCTTCGACTAAAAAAATCCGTAGAAGTCCGTAGATTTGAATAAGTCTACGGAATTGCATAGAAAAAAATCTGGCATCTCTGATGCACGTAACCTATAGCTCATACTGTAGTAGGCTTTGTATAAAAAAAAAATGATTTACTTAGTTTGACAGTTTCACCATGACGAAGTGTCAGCGTATTCGTGATTTGTCCCACGCGAAAATATCACAAAAAGACATTTCAATCGCCGTGGGAGTGTCCCGGTGGACCGTCAAAAGGGTTTTAGACCGAGAAAAGAAAGGACAACTATCCGCGAAGATGGCCATAGGTTCGTCCAAGGTCAGCTCGGGTTCCGAGGGTTATCGCTGCTATCAAAAGGAATATTCGGGTGTATCCAGTGCGTTCGATAAGAAAAATGGCAAAGGAACACGGGATCAGTGACTTTACGGCACGGAAGATCGTAAAGGAAGATTGCGGGGTGAAGTCAAGGGCACGAAAAAAAAAATTACCAACCGCATCCGGGAGCTACGAGTCGAACGATGCAAGAAAATCTTGAACTTCCTTAAGCGAAAAAATCCGGTAATCCTGTTCACCGACGAGAGCATGTTTACCGTCGATACCGTATAAAATTCCCGAACCGACCGGTATATTGGTTCTCTTCCGGTAAAAGTGATTCCGATGGCAAAAAAATGGACCCGGTGTTCATTCCAGAAGGCGACAAGGTCAACACGGAGGTCTACATCGGGATTTTAAGTAAGTATGTTCTCTCGTGCATCAAAGAACAGTACGGTCCGAAGCCAAATGTTGTATTTCAACAATATGGGACTCCGTGCCACATCTCGAACCGCACTCTGAAGTGGTTGCAGGAACATCTTCCGTTCTGGGCAAAGGATATGTGGCCGCCATCCAGCCCCGATCGAGGAACAGTTTGGTTTTCGGAAAGGTCGTTCGATCGTCCACCAGCTGACTCGAGTAACAAACATTCTCAGACGGAACAAGTCTGTTTCGAAAACATCTGCCATGGCGTTGTTGGACGTTGCAAAAGCGTTCGACAATGTCTGGCATGATGGCCTGGTGTTCAACTTGCAGCAGTACGGTCTTCCAATCTTCCTAGTGAGGAAAATAAACAACTATCTATCGGACAGGACGTTACGAGTCTCTCTGAATAGCATCACATCGGATGCCTTCAACCTCGGTGCCGGGGTTCCACAAGGAAGCATCCTTGGCCCCATTCTATTAAACCTGTTCACCTCCGATATGTCGGCTCTCCCTGATGGTGGATCGTTGTCTCTATTCGCAGATGACACATCCATCGTCTACAAGGGTAGGGTCATCGGAGTTCTGACTGCCAAACTTCAATGAGCAGTTCGTGACCAAAACTGTGTATGCCAAGCATGATGATAAGTACAATATCAACATTGTCACGGTGTCTCTATAAGATGACATGTGGACCCTTCGCAGACTACGTGGCAGGTGACGTGTGGCTAACATTCAAAGAAGGTTCAAAATGTTTAAAATGCATAGTTTCCTATTTCTAAAATTCGCAATACTTGACAACGGCTGGACTTAGGAAACACATTGTTTTATGTTTGTTTGTTAAAACTGATGTATAACATTTATTTTTGGTATTGTTTTTCCAAAAAATGAGCAATTTAATTCTGTTTTAAAATTCACTTAAAATATTTTTAAAAAAATCAAAGATGTAAACAAATTACCGGCTAAAAGGCTACCTACATTACATCCGTTCACGATGCGTTGACGTAAATTTGAAAATTAGGCAATGAATTTAGCTGTCACTAAGCCGCAACTCATCAGATCCGGATCTAATGTGGATGACCCTTTACACTTTTCTTTAACTTTAAGAACATACCTTCATCTTTCTTCACATACAATATTATAAAAATCGAAGAGAGCTTCGATAAAATCAGTGTTTTTTTATTTATTGACATGAATGTAGTGATTGTTAAATCAGATAGAAGAATAACCCAAGCAACACAACTTCATGGAATTATGTTGAGTAAACTTCTATACAACCAAAACCAGTCAAAAAAGCGTTTATAAACTATTAAAGAACTTGTGTGTTGCTTGGAATATGTATTCTCGTCAATCTAAGCAGCGTCCACACTTCTATTAGCAATTTATCAGTGTCACACACACATATGACGTGTATGTTTGTTAACATTTATCTTCTTCTTCTTCTTCGTCGCATTTTCAAGCTTATTGCATATCGGATATTAGCTTATTGCGTGCTCTCAACTTAGTATTCTAGATGCACTTCCACAGTTATTAATTGAGAGCTTTCGATGCCTGTACCATTTTTGCATTGGTATAATTGTGTGGCAACTCCAATCATACTTCTATGCCCAGGGAAGTCGAGAAATTTTCCAACCCGAAAAAATTCCTAGACCGGACCGGGAATTGAACCCAGCCACCTCCAGCATGGTCTTGCTTTGGAGCTTACCATTTATCTGCTGCTTGCTTTTCTATCCATTCCAATCGATAGGATTTTTCAAAACTGTTTGAAAGCGTTTTTACAACGCTCCAAACTAGTGAGGTGAGTGTGACTTTTGTCGGCAGCTCTTTTTTCTTCGGCAAACTTTCCATTTGAACTGCCTGTTAACCAGCTGTTCTATTATCGGCTACTACCCGGCTACTCGGCTACCCGCTTTAATGAAAAGTATGGCATAACAGGATTGCCCAGTCGTTAAAATGGAAACTAAAGGACCAAGGATTCGTTTGAATACATTCAGTGAAGTGTTTTTAAGGCAAAATACAGTGAAATAAACGTTTAAATTTTGATTGCAGAAAACAGTTCATGGGTGCCGAAGACACCTTTTTACCCTATGTCGTTTTCGTTTTGTATGATTTTTGAAAAAAAATATAAAATACATTTTTAGAGACGCCGTTTAAAAAGTTCTTGAGAAAAATACTCATATCGTCAATGTTTCATTTAAATCGGAAAGGGTCGAGACAATATTGTCATTTTTTGTGCATTTGAAATGGAAATGCTCTATTGCTGAATTCTATCAAAAAGTGTAGAATGTTCTTTAAAAATAAACCAAAAATAAAATTGCGACTGAAGCGGGTCAACGGTAAACCTCTTAACATATCAATCCAGCTCCGTAAAAACGCTGTTATAGTTTATGTAGTGGTATGAACAAGATCCTCACTGATAAGTTCATAAAGACACAAAACAAAAATTGCGAGGGAGTGATGTATGAGGCCGCAGAAATCGCTAACCATTTCGTGCAAAAAGTTGTGAAGTCAGAATGTACAATAAAAACGCCTTAAAATATAAACGTTCTGGAACAACTTCCGCTGTGCGAATACAAATCTACGTCATCGAAACAGCTCCTCTACCAAAGCCGATGCGATGTCCTTTGTGTTTGTATTTATTGGAATCTAGTGGAAACGGTACCGTCCATAGTTAAGGTGGTATCGCACATGTTTGCCTAATTTCAATGGGAATCTAAATGACACAATAATAAATTACCCTTCATCCATCAGTGCCTCGTTCTACCCTAGATGGAAACGTAAGAAGTGTAGTACATCGTCTACATGCACGAATCATACCTAACCGACAACGGATATCGATCCATCGCTACCGAATGATGCCCCGAGCAATTTCCGAATCGACGAGCAAACAGATGGACGGAGCTGGTTGCGTGTATTGGTGCAATAAATTTCCGAAGTTTTCGTCACATTCAACCCCCATCGCATTATTGGCTGGCGGAGGAAGGAAAACTGGGTGGCAACTGTGAGTATTGACAGTGGAATATACTCGCCCATTGGGTGGATACATTTCGGCAGGCGCTGTACGCACAGTCAACTGGACATTACATATTACTGCAACGGAGACTTGAGTGAGTCGTTAGACGAGGAACGCCGGAACCGTTTACCCAATTATCAGATATCAACGGTGAAACGTTGAAACCCCCTTTTAACAAAGTATGGATATATTTACGACCCCCAACCCGAACCTAAACAGAAGACGAACCGCAATTACAACCTTTTTGGCATAAAGCCGAAAAACAACAATAAATTTCCATTTCCGCATTCCACCGTCCACATTCGTAAACAGTCCACCAAGGCAACCAAGCTACGGTGCCTATTTCCACTGCGAATTCCACTCAACTCACTTCCAATATAGGCCACGTGTAGTAACACCTGTCAATTGTTCATCACCCCACCCCCACTCGGTGGTTCTCCCCATCGGAAGTTCGAAATTTCTCGCACCTTCCAAAAAAAAAAAAGGAAAACCCCGTTGCTCATGGTAACCTTTGTAACGAGCCTCGAATAAACAACCACTTCAAACGGAGAGCGAGCAAAACAAAACTAATTTCCCGCTCTTTTACGAGGGGGGGGGGGGGGGCAGGACAGATACTTTTACTGAGGCCCGGTCGCATTTGAATAGAAGAAAAAGCGTCATGAAAATCGATTTGATCACTGGCAAAGCCCCCATCCCACGAAATGCATACTTACACCGTCAGTCTTTGTTCGGATATCCTTACCAGCCGCAGCCAAAAGCGCCCGTAAAATTGCGGTTGCAGTGCCGGTTTGTCTACTAGCTACCAAATGAACAGCCGTTTGTTGCCGTGACTAATTGGGAGAAAGAAAGAATGCATAATTAGATTAATCGGCAGCAGTATCCCTAGTCTAATTGGTGGTAAACTTTTATCATTTGGGGCAATCTACCCAGCTTGATGTAACTACCGAAACCGAATCCTGTGGGGGTTTGTTTGTTGTTTATGGAGCACGGTGCACTCGAAGATGGTACGAAACTTGCAACTTTTAGCGAATGGGACAGATACTTACCGCGGGGCCTATCAGGCTCTCTGGCAGCAATTCGCCTACATATTGCTCATCTTCGTATACCAGCCGATGGAAGATTTTGAAGAAGGCATCATCCTTCGCTACCTGCAGCTCTTGTTCCACTTCCACGGCATTTAGAATCGCTTTCTGGAAGGGAAATTTAGGGGGGTTTGATGGTGGTTTCACATTTTCCTTGGGAATAACCTTTCCGGGAAATGACCGATCGTGTTGATGACCGCGCGCTAACGAAAATACCATTTCATTTCAATCCACATTTCGTCTCACCAGTTTCGTATAGATATTTTTTTTTAATATAATTTCTTTAAAATTTACGTATTTTATTTCTTGATTCGTCCTACGATTTGTCATATGTTTGAAATTTATAGCTTGTCAAACCATGGTAAACTAACATAAGCAGCTTAAAAAAAGCATTGTTTTTCTGAAGCAAACAATCGACCTATACTCTTGGAAAAATTCATGTAAATTTAGGTGCTTTGAGTCTGACATATACGAATGTCAATATTTATTTCAAATGGAGTCATAACAGACGTGAAATTCAGCTCAATTAAACGTACTTTTCGAACATGCCATGTTTGTTTACGTCTCATCTTTTACCTGAAAGATGGATTCCGTCACAAGTAAAATTAGCTATTTCTAAATGTGTGGATAACCAAAAAGTTTACTTATTCATATGTTTACATGCTAAGACTAGTACAGGGTCTTCTATTTCATACATTAGCTGTATATCAGCCTTATCATGCGAAAAGCGTAATTAGAGGGACTTTCTAGTTTCTTGAGGAGGTACCTATTATAATTTAATACTGCCCATAGTCCCATATCAGTTCCACATGGAAAAAAGTAGGCATTGAGAAAATATCAGCCAAAGTTTCAAAGTGCGATTCCTATGTAAATATTTGAAAAATCATAGTAAATTTATTAATATTTTTTCAAGTTAAAATCATTTGCGTTGAAGCTCACATGTTGTGTTACATCTTGATGCTGGAAAATTGGATGCTGGAGACGAACCAGCCCAGGACTGAACGTCTCCTTAATAAAGATATAAAAAAACTGACTTGATGTTGTTTTCACATTTATCATGATCAAAGTCCGTATTTTTATCACATAATGTACGTATGCGATTAAAGGCAGTATATTGGATGTACCATTTTTATCTCATAGTAATAAATTAATAATCATGTTTGCAGGGCTGGAAAACATCTTAGAGCGTTAGCAAAGCAACTTTGTGCATGCATCTCACAACACTCGACAAAGAGTGTGTGATTCTCCCATTTACTTCGCACGCTCTTTTCCAACTAATCTGTGAGAAAGCGATCCACACAATGAGCAGTACACTCCGTGCGGCGCTGGGAGCAAATATAATACAACAAGCGCTAATGTCTTCTTTGAATTATTTGCAGACTTTGCTTATCACGACTGCATGCATAGGAGATGAAGAAGAGCATAACAATGAAAAATTTTGTCTTTTTGCTGGGTTTTCCATTTGAAACCCTACACTGAGTGGTGCTCTTTGCGTCGGAGCTGTCGGAGCGATGGCTACACATTGAGCTTTCGTTATTTCTGGGTGTGTGCTGCAGGGTGAAAGACAAGCAAACTTCGTGAAAATCAGTACATTGCGCACATTGAGCGATCAGATGACAGCCCTGCATGTTTGACAATATGGATTGACTATCCACTCTTAAACTTCAAATAGAATTAGCCCAACAGTATTGCGATGCACTCAATTCTGATCATTCAACAACTCGTTAGTGCTTTTATAAGTAATTGACATCATAAAATGGACTACAAATTTACCGAATCGAAGTAGACCATGAAAAGTATTCTATACATTCTAATATATCCTCAAAGCAGGTATGTTCAAAATTGAATTGAAAATGTTCATCTTGAATTGGCAGCCCTAAGTATGCACCTTTAGAATTGATAAAACGATCCATAAAATATTGAAAAACGTTCCATTTAAAACATCCAAATAATCTATAATAAAAATGTGTGGATGATCCATAAAAAATATCAATATTATCAATATTTTATGTGAAATTGTAAAAATGTACCACTAAATTTCTTAACAATGTGCATTGGAATGACACGAATTACCCATAAACATATTGCAATTGATCCATAAAACATTCAACAATAAACCTTAAACTTAAGAAAGTGCTCCATAAAAAATCAAATTTGCACACTTAAAAAAATATAGGCATGATCCATAAATTAGACGTATATTATTCATGTTTAGGACACTATTTTTTAAATTTTGATCCATAAACCTTGAAAGTTTCGCCACTGCATATCCACTTAGATTTACTGTCCTGCCCGTGTATTTTAGGTAGAGGTGCGAAGCGACGGGCAAGCGTCTAGAATTAGCTTCAAAAAGAAGATTCTATAATAACATTCTTTATTTAGTAACTTCTTTAAGAAGCTTATTCTAGACGCTCGCCCATCGTTCCGCTCTTCAGACAAAAAAAAAACACGGGCAGAACAGTAAGCCTGAGTAACTACGCAGTAATGTAGCAATTTTCCAAGGTTAACTGATCAAATTTAAAAAAGGGTCCAAAACATGCAAAACATATGTATATCCCATAGACTTTAATTGGAACACACCATAATAAGAACATCTACTAACAACTGGAACACCTACCCTAGGTATGATCCATAAAATAAACATTTATTTTTCTTATTTTCTAAAGAAGATTATTATAGAAGCTTCTGTTGGAAGCTAATTCTAGACGTTTGACCATCGCTCCGCCCCTCTACCTAAAAAACACGACAGGACAGTTAATCTAAGTAGTAAAGCAGTAATGGAGGAATTTTTCATGTTTTATGGATCAAAATTTATAATATAGTGTCCAAAACGTGAATAATATACTCTGTACCGCCAAGCCCAGCGACAACCTTGTGGGAGATTCTGAGAGCTACTTTAACGGTAGCTATCAGAAATGACAGATGTCAGGTTTGGTTCAACGGAACTGTGAACTCACAGTTCCGTTGAACCAAACCTTAGATAGGTCTTAGAACGAGAAAAAAAGAGGAAAAGAAGGTACAATTCCAAACCATCTAGAACTTGTTTTACAGCTAAGTTAAGTTAAAAGCCAAAATTTATTACTATACCTATTGTTTAATTAAATTGTAGTGATTTGTAGTGAACTAGCTACTGAAGTAGGTTTCGTGGAAATATTGAATTTAATAACCCTATATTTGCTTAATCTATCTTCTTTCCATTATTTAACGTCGGTCTCTGTTCCGCAATCTAGTGCCAATCACCGACGGACATCGATTGCCATCCATTGACGGCAATCGAATGTGCAGGAAGGCAGCTTCCACACCTGCGTAGGATATTGCACCCATCCAAAAACACACATAGGCCGGGACCAACGGCTTTACAAGACCCATTGGGGTAAGAAAACAGTCACGCTTACCACTACACCACCGACGCCGGCTATTTGCTTAATCTAGATACTACAATTTGATCCAAAAATCTGGTAACCTACAATTTGTTCCTAAACACTATATACTTGATTTACCCTAAGTAACTAGTAAGTAGTTCATTCTACATCGTTTGCGTGCTTAACTAAAATAATAATAAAAAAAAATTGAATCCTTAAATTCTAAATCTAGCCAAATCTTTGTTAAAAGAGTGACGGAGGATAAGTCTCGGTTTGAAAAATCTCCCGCTCAGCCTCCTCTCGCTTCTCATGGAGGAATTTCTCTTCCTCCAGCGCTTTCTCCTTTGCGCTTTCTCCTTTGCGCTTTTCTCCTGATGCAACTGGTCTAGAGATTCCTCCAGACTGACCTCATTGGTACTTCCTTTTCCATATTCGGATCCGGCATCACTCCTTGCACTATTCTGTCTGCTAGGTGGTTTCTTTGGGACAGTCTTCTTGGTTCCTTTTGGCACCTTCAGCATATTTGTGCACTTCGAACATGTCTTCGGAACCTCCTTTACAGCTGTTGTCTTACCAGCACAACTATAATGGGTCCAGAAATCGCAGCCATCACACTGGACCATATCATCTACGTGGTCATGGCCTTCACAAAGCGTACAGTTTCTATCGCTGTTATGTTCTTCACTCAACGGTGGTGTTGATTCCGCTGACATTTGGAGGTTATATCCGATGTTGTTCTTCAAGAATGTTCGGATTAATGAAAGCAACTTCCTCAGAGCAGTCTCGTTTTGGACAGCTTGAAGCTGAAATAGGTTTTGTTATAAGCATTAAGATTGGTTTAGACTTTATATTTGTTTAATAAAACCTATTTCAGCTTCAAGTTGTCCAAAACGAGACTGCTTTAAGGAAGTTGCTTTCATTAATCTGAACATGGCTATATTTTTAGGTGCGCAAACTTGGTTTTCTATGGATCACTTTCTTTAGTTTAAGCTTAAAGGGCAATGCTCATTCTTTAGAAATTTAGCGGTCCATTTTTACTATTGTGTTGCTAAATTTTACATAAAATATGGATCAAATTGATATTTTTTATGGATCATTCACATTTTTTTAAGGATTTTCTCCGATTGATCATTTGAATGTTTTTTATTGAACGTTTTCCAATATTTTATGGATCATTTATTGGTTTTTATATTCAAAAGTATGTTTGCCTCTTGCATTTCCAAAACCGTCCATGTGCACAATGTGCATTGCCTCGAAAAAAGACCCAGTGCACAAATTGGGCTCAGTCGAAAATGATTTAGAGGTTGCGCAAAATCGTCAAAATTTGAGTTATCAGAAATCGAAAAAACACATGAAATTTTACTTTTCGTAAAAAAAAATCAAATG